CGCATCAGATGAATGGAGAGAAGAAATATACATTATCCGAAATAAAATACAATGAAAGCCCTGTAAAAACGAAACAAATCTTATCCACCTGACACAATCGCTGATAACAAACATGACAACATGCCTGACACAACCAGTCCATGCATAAATCATATAGCTCGCACCACTCATTCCTAAAACCAACCCAAAGGTTGTTGACAGTAAATAATAGCCTTCATGAACACCCTACCCTACCATATCAATATACATGGCTCATTAAAGAAGACACAACTCAAATTAAAGTTAAAACAACCCACTTTTTAAACCAAATCTAAGCATGTTCACTATATATCTCAATTTACACCCTACCACACTCTGATAATAGCTGTTCATGACACTAGCTGTATACAGTACACAGTATGTCTACATATTCATATGGATGACTCAACATCTCCAGAAATTTGCAGTTTGATTGCAATATGCTAATTGCCTATGTTAATTTTTAAGCCAGGACGCGTACACATTTAGAGTTACTTCCCTTGCTTGTAGCAAGCCAGAACTGCTGTTATTGATTGGGGTTGTTTTTCTTGTGATTCTAACCCTGTTTATTCATGAATTGCTTCTTTATAAAATTACATTCTAGCTTCAGTAGTCACATAAACACCACATCCAAACAAAATAGGACAATGGTTATGAAAAGTTTTCTTGAACATTTTTAGTTGGCAAATCAAAATGTTAACTTGATACTAAAAATTTCTTCTCTGAAACCACTGAAACTTTATAAAGATAGCACAAACTTTAACATTCAGGAGACAAGGGTTAGCTTAGTGGTTAAAGTGTTTGCTTGTCACATTTTAGTCCAGGCTCAATTCCCGACAAAGGTACAAAGTGTGAAGCCCATTTTTGGGGTACCCTGCCATGATACAACAAGCTGTTGAATTTGACAGTAATTATTATCAATAATCAAATACTCAGTAATTCCTCTATATGTAAAATAAATAGAAATATAGATGTGAAAATCTGATCAATACAAACATAATTCCAAGCTTATTTACTAGGGCTGCTATGAATACACTATGTGGCGAATATGATATGTATCACGAACATTGGGTAACGAATATGAATAATTATTCACGAATACAATATTGTAGTTATGTGATTGATGCATAATATGGAATGCCCATGTTGACAATGTTAATTTGTCACAGCAATTTCATGACACTCAAATTTGATATGTAATAGTTATAATCGACAGTAACATGTGTGACCTTGGCAAACTACCATGACTTGTGCTACTGCAAGGCTAGTGCATATTATGTTCTTGCATATCTCAGTTTATAAAGGACATAAGGGTTCAAGTAAAAAACACACTCCCTTAAAATAATCTTAAATATTCAGTTCTTGCGACCACAAACAACAAATTGAATTCATGAAGGGCTTCGGTTCAATTCACCAAATGTGCGAGTGAATCGTTACAGCCTTATTATATCTATAGAAGCTTGTTAAACTACCCATGCACCCATAGATAAAGTTTTGAGGGCTGAGTTGCAGCAGGAGAAGCTACATATGAGTAATTATGCAAACTTCTGGTAAGTATTTTTAGACTCTAAGTATTTTCTCACAACTTATTCACATAACTTTCTAACAGTTTTCTTTGGGTATTCAATATGTTAACCCTGCATTCATCATGTTCTGTCAGTTGGGATAATTTTAATTTAATTTGTGGGCTTACAATTTAACTGATTTTGTGGGGTTACATTTTTTCCCTCCCCTTAACCTAAAGACCCTGACATTGACCTATATTTTTGTTTTCTTCCAACTGCAAGATACCTTTTATCACCATCCAAGACAGTCTACATTTCATGACACAAGAACAGTAAGCAACTCTAGCATCTAATCCAAAATCCCAGTCAAGTTTTGTTGTTTATTTACTTGTATGTTGTTTCAAAGATGTGCCCACTTCCAGCTTTATGACGATGGTCATAGGAAAAAAAACAATTCCATAAAGATTAGCATGATTTCGGAAAAATGTTTTGTGGTAAAATCTGAAATTATTTGGAAGAATTACTAATAAGAAACAGAACTTACTACCTTTCCTAGATTGAGCTTCTGAAATTGAAATAAAAGACTCAAAATAATTTTCCCTGTGATGAATTGTGGCAAGGTGGGTCAGTAGACCAAACATTGTATACAACCTTCCGAAGATAGTGTATAGTGACAGGGATTTACCTTGAGTCCTGTTTTTGAGGGTCCCTGGGAATCATACTCATAAATGTTATATATACTGTTATTGTGTTGTGTATCATGATCATCACATTGTTACAGTAATTGAATTTCAAATGATACCATAACCCACCTAGTATCAAACTCTTTGATAACTTATTGTTACTTGATTGGAATTTTTACAAAAAGTATTTGTACTTTTTCTGCATTGCTGTGGTTGAGCTAATAATTTTGTTGCGTCCATTGTTAATTTTCATGCATATAGGACGCAGGACTTCGCGTTCTGTAAATCCCTGTAGTGATTTGCTGAGTAAATAGCCACAGTGACCTACGTCAACTCTCCAGTCTCAGCAAGGAAGTTCTACCACACTGAGTCATGTGAACATCATGTTTCCCCTCCAGGTTTTAAAGACTAAGGTCAAGTGCAAGTCATGCAGCATGTGCTTGTCACAGATCATGTGCTTGTCACAGATCATGTGCTCGTCATGCATCATGTGCATGGGTTCAAAAGCTGAGGTTATCGGCCAAAAATTAAACACAACCTTCTGAACCATTCTTGTCCATGTTCCCCGAATGTATTTTATTCTATTTTTCTTTATTGTGGGTCATTGTAGCAATGCCTAAACTGTGACATAGATTCTATCCCCTGTGTAATAATTGCTAAATATGAACCCACAGTCATCAAATAACATCATTTTCAGAAGCCTGTTTTCAGAATGAACCGGTTACCAGATTCCATTAGCACAAACAAATCTTAGCGCTACAACAAATGTAGCCCTCACTCAATAAATCACAAATATGACAAAAGTCAGGGTGCTCAGATCACATTCAGCAAGCAGATTCAGGTATATGTTCATGTTCATTCGCAATAGTTCAGGGATTAGACTGACTGACTGAGTTTGGTTTTACACCCCTTTTAGCAATATTCCAGCAACATCACGGCGGGGGACACCAGAAATGGGCTTCACACATTGTACCCATGTGGGGATTCGAACCCGGGTCTTCGGCGTGACGAGCCAACGCTTTAACCTCTAGGCTACCCCACCACCCCTCAGGGATTAGAAGATGAGGACTAATCAAAAGATATGCTGTATCTCTCCACAAGGAACATCATTCCTTACCATGCTTACGGTAGATCCAAGCAATATTACACTTGTGAATATCCAGAACCATATTCATGGTAATAAGCTCCCGGACCGCTTACACATTGCTGGCACTCATTAAAATGCCATTATATAAGTTTCATATTGATGACAATTTATGGTCCCAGACTTTGAAATCATCACTGGATTTTATAAAATAGCATCAGGAAAGCAAGGATTACATGTAATAGTACTAATACATATTTATATTTTCTTAGAAAGGTGATGTCTTTTTCTTAATGTCTTGCAGATGAAATATGCATGAATTTTAACAACTTGTTTAACAGTAGGAAATAGTCAGTATATTTATTGTAACTAATATCAAAAATATTTTTTTCTGAAGACAAAAGAGAATATTTACAAAAAGAACAAGTAATATTGTTGATTACTGGATCATGTATGTAAAAAAAATGAACTTGCTATATAACCATTTGACCATAATACAAGAGGATTGTCAACTGACATCACCTCATAAATGGAAAAATTTTCACACAACAGACCAAAAGACCATCTTCATGAAGCAGCCACAATCTTCAAGCAAAATATTTATCCCCCAAACAAACTGTCACAATTCTTGAGTGCAGAGCAAAATAAGCCAATTGAACCGACCATCAACTAGGAATTCTTTGTGTACCCAAATTGCCATCAATCTAATATTTACATTAGACAGTTGTTAAAACACGCCTATCTACTTAAACAATAAACAACAAAGACTGAAAAGAAGGATTATTGTATCCCCACTGATTTTTTTTCGGATTTATAATAATTATTCATTAACATACCAAATATAGATAAACGTCCTTCGATATCACAGTTCATCGAAAGCAAAATAAATCCAAATACGCTGAATAAATAGAAGGTTCAAAGACTATTATCATTTTGACACTTGAAATGTATCACATTACAAAATTATGCAAATGAGATATATATATATACACACATGTAAGCTGTTTCTAGGTCTGATTGGTCGCAAAGCAATATTCATCACTCAATACACGTTCTCTGTAATGTTATTCCACGCAGGATAACTCAAAACAAACAATAACCACAAAAGTACAAATTATTAATGTGTAAACAAACTGATATATCCTTCTTTCCAGCAAATGCATTGATTAAAAAACACATTACGTTTTAGATAGAATCTCATAACCAGAGTATAAGGGCAGTGATTTTGTCAGTTTGAAACAGATGTCACACTAAGCTTGAGCTGGTATTGTGTGATATGATTATTTGACTGTGACTCGTATATATGTGTTCACTTTCTCTAAGATTTATGCATATTTGATGATGTCATAGATGTGTTTATTTGCAACACTGTAATAAATTAAAGCTCTCGGGTGATAAATATTTTGACACCGTACCCTTATTTACCGAAATACACCACTGCAGCCCCTCCCCCTAAAATCCGATTTCGTTTCATAACAACTCCATGACATGACAAGCCTACTTGTCATATCGTAGAAATGAAATGGCAGTCTGCTCGACAATTATCCCCGAAAAATGTCAAAACAACATAGATTTTGAGGGGATCAGAGCAAACTAGTGTGTGAATGTGCCCATATTTTGACACGATGTGTAACTGACATGTAGATAAATAACCCTGGAACATGAATTAGTAGAAACTACACTGACAACAAACGAATATTCAAAGGATACATTCGGAGTGACCCAGATTTTGTCCCGATTGCTAAAATATGTTGAACAGGATCAAACGCAACGGCAGTTGGTTGGAATGGGAAACCGTGTCTAACAGTCTGCAAAATAAAACAGCATCGTGACATACCATATCTGAGATTATTCTCAAATGCACGTCCGCGAAATTAAAAATACTCAATCGATTTCAACAGTACGAGACCCACCTTGCAGACTTGAAAATGCTCGGACCGTAGTGATTCCTCTATCTCCATTTCAGCCTTCGGGGGTGTGCTCACGGACGATCTAAGCCCGTCAAGCACACCCTTCAAGGTAAATCGTTTTCCTTTAACTGTCGACATATTTGTAATAATCGTCAAATATCCTCATGTTTACGAATTTCCACCCTCCAAATCGCCATTTCTAGGCTACTGCTAGCCTCAATATATCCTGACACGGCTGTGGAAGCCCGGATGTAGACCCAGCAATCGTCTACACGGAAAGAGCTGCGTTGGTGATGTCGACTCGCACATAGATTATTCCAAGACAAAAACAGCAGGCGACGGAAAAATCACTTTTCACATTTTGAGGACGAGTATTTTGAAAACAGATTCAGCCAGACCTGTCCCTAATGTATATCAGCCAGGGCGATGACAGCAAGGCGAGCGAGTGAAAATTAACATGAGCGCTCACTGTGTTTCTGCCAAGATTCGGGGCTTGCAATATTCTCGTTCCAACGCTGGGGAACCGATCAATCAATTGTATCTGGCGTAATTGCTATTTTTTTCTTTGTGCGTATATTGAATCTAACTTTCTTATTTAATGCTAATATCTTCAAAATTAGGGGAATATTTTACATTAAGGAGTTTATTTTCGTCAGTTTCTCACAATATATTCCGGTAATTTCCCTATGAATCGGTAATTAGTCTATAACGGTGTTAGGGATTGTGGCGAATGAATCATTAAACACGGTGATATATATATTGTTTCTACATAAATCCTAAGGACAATTCATTGAATGAATCTTAAGCCATGGAAATCCTCGCACGAAAGAATTAAGTCAAGTTTCACTTCTCGTATTTGTTGGGTGTTTTAGGTTGTTTTATGAAATATTATAATACTTTGTAAAGACAACCCGTATCATAAAATCCTGTACAAATATTAATAGAGTAATAAAGATATATTTTTGTGTTTTGCAATAACCGCTCCAGAGGCGGATACAGCTTTTTGAGAAAGGGGGGTGCACACTATTGAGAAAAGGGAGAGTGCACACTTCATTTTCACCCGAGTTTCAATGGTCATTTGATAAACTTTCAGGACAAAAAAAAGGGGGGGGGGGGGGTCCACCCCTGCATCCCCCCTCTGGATCCGCCTATGGGCTCGAATATACACGCAATTCCGCCAGTAAGGGTTGCTGGTCTTCTATTTAAGAGTCACATGTAGTTTCTATTCGGTATTTTTGTTTGTTTAACGCCGCACTCAGCAATATTCCAGCATGGCGGCGGTCTGTGAATAATCGAGTCTGGACCAGACAATCCTGTTATCAACAGCATGAGCATCGATTTACGCAATTGGGAACCGATGACATGTGTGAACCAAGTCAACAAGCTTGGCCACCCGATCCCGTTAGTCGCCTCTTACGACAAGCATGGGTTCCTGAAGACGCCAATTCTAACCCGGATCTTCACGGGGTTTTCACGTCTGAACAATAAACCTAGTGATTGACATCATGAGCATCGATCCACGTAAATGCGAAGCAACCACACATAATGATGAAATCTACTGAGTCTGAACTCGCGGCAAGTGTACAGTTCTTGGCACCAATGATTCACCCTAAGAGCGGTGGTGACGAGTGAGTGAGTAGTTTAGTTTTACGCCGCTTTTAGCTTTTTAGCCCAGAAATGGGCTTCGCACATTGTACCCATGTGAGGAATCGAACCCAGGTCTTCGGCGTGACGAGCGAACGCTTTAACCGCTAGGCTACCCCGCCGGTCAGGGTTTAAGGTGAGGTTTTGAAAAATGAACCAGGTCAGCTGTTATTAGCGATTTCTTTCCATTTCATAATCACGCTATACAGTGTTCTAACTCAATAATCCCTTCCTGGATTCATGCTGTTGATCACTGGATTGTCTGGTCCAGACTCGATTACTTACAGACCGCCGCCATAAAGCCGAAATATTGCTGAATGCGACGTTAAACAACAAACAAACAAACCCTTGCTCGAACCATACGGATTAGGGTCGGGCTGGTCTGGCATACAGTACCCCAACCACATTATTTTCCCTTATATATAATAATAGTCCATTTATCTTGCGCATTTCTCCATGCGCAATGCATGCTCGAAGCGCCCGAACAATCTGAGTATTATTACCTCGGATAACCCAAGCTGCCTGTGAGGCGCTAGAAGGTTTTATATAGTCACATGACTTTGTCCCACCGGGTACCCATCTTCTGCTGGGTGAATAGAGGCAATTCCACCCAGTCCTTATTGTAATGGAAACGCCTCAAATGAAGCAAGTCTAGATTTTTCTTTGAATCTGCCGGCTTCTTTTCGGTTTTAATTAAGTTTGTTTGGTTTTGTATATTTTATCAAGATTTTATATTTTCAGAAACTAAGCGTTAGTCTAATGTCGGGCATGTAGCACAGCTTGTAGTGCAGGAGCCGGGCCAAACAGTGGATCTTCGTTTGATGGTCATTCAATGAGTGAGTTTAGTTTTACGCCGCACTTGGCAATATTCCAGCTATATGGCGGTGATCTGTAAATAATCGAGCCTGGACCAGACAATCCAGTGATCAACAGCATGAGCATCGATCTACGCAATCGGGATACGATGACATTTGTCAACCAAGTCAGCGAGCCTGACCACCCGGTCCTCTTAATTATAAGTCGCCTGTTACGACAAGCATGGGTTACTGAAGATCAATTCTAACCCGGATCTTCACGGGTTGAAGGTTATTCAAAACCGACTTAACACTCTGTTTTCTGGAACAGGTACGGACGAGATTCCTGTTTGTGAACTCGCCAAAGAGGGCATGTTGCACTAGAGCAGTATCGCTTTAATGGTATTTATATTAAGTCATTGATTATTATTGTAATCTATATTTTTCATTACCTAAGCCAGTGATCAAAATAGCAGATGTTTTCCCAGGCATGTGTTTCATCACTGACATTTGCTGAGTTAAATTTGTCTCAAACCTGTATCAAATGAAATACGGTAATTCAAACGATTGGATGATTGTATATCGTTTTTCTTTGAGTAAGTGCGAAAGGTAAATTTAACGAGCGCAGCTGGCTTCTGCTGTTGGCGCAATTTTAAAATCACTGCGACGTCAATAAAGGCCACCTGGAGCTGGTCAAAGGGAGATAACCGAAGGAGGAGAAGCGTGGACATTAACTCAGGCGTTGCATATTTGCTGGCTTCTTTGCGGGATTATTAAAAATTATGCTCTCATGCATTTATAACCAAATGGTATTATGTGTGCGATTTTATTACATTATTTTACGCTGTTTACTTTGTGTAAATACAGTTGGGCAGATCGAATAACGGCAACTTAAACCAGCAACAATATTGCTTGCCTTTAATGCTACCGTATCAATTTCCTTTGAAAGCGGGGCGGTGGGGTAACCTAGTGGTTAAAGCGTTCGCTCGTAACGCCGAAGAACCGGGGTCGATTCCGAACATGGGTACAATGTGTGAAGCCCCTTTGTGGTGTCCTCCACCGCGATATTGCGGGAATATTGCTGAAAGCGGCGTAAAACCATACCCACTCACTTCCTCCTTTGAAAGCTTGTGATGAATATCGGTCAAGAAACAGACATTTGTTAATAAATACTTGATATCAAAATGTGTGGCATACAGTGAATGACTGTGGTATGGATGTGAATGGTCTATAATTTTATTTTTAAAAAGCTTATGGATTCTGTATTTACATGGTACTTTAGATCTCAGTGAAGTCATTTCTGATATTAATATTAATTTGCGGTTTAAGCATATATTCCCATTTAGGTTTGGTTGGTTTGTTGTTTAACGCCGCACTCAGCAATATTCCAGCTATATGGCGGAGGTCTGTAAATAATCGAGTCTGGACCATACAATCTAGTGATCAACAGCATGAGCATCGATCTATACTTAACTGGGATACGATGACATGTGTTAACCAAGTCACCCGATTCCGTTACATCATCATCATCATCATCATCATCATCATTATCATCGCCGTCGTCTTCTTCGCCCTCGTCTTCAACGTTGACTTCACTGTTAATATATAGCAACAGCAGCAGCATTGCTGTCATGCATTGCGCGAATAGCTTTGGCATGTTATGGATTTATGATATCATCATCGTCGTTGTCATTATCATCATCATCATCATCATCATCATCACCATGACTTGCTGCATCTTCTATAACTGCATTATTGTCATCGTAAACGCTATCATTATCATCGCCAACATTAACGCGATTCCTTGTGTAATATGGGAACTACAGATACCTCAAATGTCAAAATAATATTCAGCTTACATCAAACAAACCCTTCATCACCATCATTGAGTAATATACAGGCAGATTTAGTCGCGAACAAACCTGCCTTCTCCCCCTTCCCCACCCCCAACCGCCGCTCCCCCAGTACGCCTTATTCCCTCCCCGCACATGATTGATCCATCATTCGTATCTGAGGAAGGGAAAATACGTCAACCTTCCTCGGGGGCCAATCTTGTCGCGGTTAGAAGGTCGGGCTGATAACAACATGCTAACCTAATGAACTTCACAGATTTTCGGCTCATTATCCTCGGTCTATTATATTGTCATATAGCAATTCTGTATATATGCAGACTGTCTGGGTCTTCGCTTTCTTGGGACAAGCACGGGGCAGCAAAGACATGCCATAATTAGTGATTTCTTCAAATCATGACAGACACGTACCGGGGTTGTGTGTTGGACGGACCCTTGCCATGTGCCTCTCTCCCTGTGTGTCTCATCAAGTGTACACACATGTCCTACGTTAGTGACTCTTCCCAAGCTTGTATGAGGTATAAATTGTGATCCCCTTAAAATGCGTGAATTATACTTTGTGATCCCCTTAAAATGCGTGAGTTATACTTTGTGATCCCTTAAAATGCGTGAGTTATACTTTGTGATTCCCTTAAAATGCGTGAGTTATACTTTGTGATTCCCTTAAAGTGCGGGAGCTATACTTTGTGATTCCCTTTAAATGTACACGAGTTATACTTTGTGATTCCCTTAAAATGCGTGAGTTATACTTTGTGATCCCTTAAAATGCGTGAGTTATACTTTGTGATTCCCTTAAAATGCGGGAGTTATACTTTGTGATCCCTTAAAATGCGGGAGTTATACTTTTTGATTCCCTTAAAATGCGGGAGTTATACTTTGTGATCCCCTTTAAATGTACACGTGTTATACTTTGTGATCCCTTAAAATGCGGGAGTTATACTTTGTGATCCCTAAAGTGCGTGAGTTATAATTTGTGATCCCCTTAAAATGCGGGAGTTATACATTGTGATTCCCTTAAAATGCGTGTTATACTTTGTGATCCCCTTTAAATGTACACGCGTTATACTTTGTGATCCCCTTAAAATGTACACGAGTTACTTTACCTTGACTTTACCTTGAGACTCCTTCAAAACGAATGCCAATTTCCGAAAGTAATCTGGATATTTATAGCCAGACAGT